GATGCTGTTTTAGATGTGGCATGGAATGAAAGTTACACGCAAGTATAATTAACATTAAAATTTCATGTACTTAATAAAAACCATAAAATTGATATGTTATATGATGATGAGAATATTGTTTTTTTAGACATGTATTAGCTAGTGGATCAGTTGATCGAACAGTTTTGTTATGGGATTTAGAAAATGGCACACCTGTTAATAAGATTACTTCCTTTAATGAAAAAGTTCAATCAATAAAATGGCATCCAACTGAAACACATCAATTACTAACAGGTTGTGCAGATAAGTATGTATATTATTTCTATTATGTTAATATAACATCTAAATGTATTGTAAATATACAAATCTTTTTTTTATTAGAATGGTTAGATTGTTTGACTGCAGAGATCAAACTGTTGTAAAATCTTGGGAAACATCAGGAGAAGTAGAAAGAGTATTATGGAATCAATTTGATTCAAACTACTGTATAGTTAGTATATTATATAAAAGATATAGTAATTTGAATGCTTATAACAAAGTTTTTATTATCGTGTATTAATACTTATATCATAGGCAAGCACAAATGATGGATACATGTTATATTTTGATATCAGGCAAGATAAACCAATTTGGAACATAGAAGCTCACACAAAAGAAGTTACGGGTACATACTTACAATAGTTATATATAAATAACATTTTTACATACTAATTAGAAATCTATTTATGAATTTATGATTTTAGGTTTGATTCTAAGTACGTCATGTCCCGGTCTTCTTCTTACGTCTGCAAATGATGGCAACATAAAAGTGTGGGATATTGTTAAGCATGAGGAACCAGTATGTGTTTGGGAAAAAAAAACTAAACTGGGTGCTCTATTATGTGTCGCATCAAACCCAGATAATCCTTTTATTTTTTCTGCTGGCGGTGACAATAAATCCCACAACTTTCAAGTATTTGATTTTTCTAAAGTAACAGAAAGTAAGTTTTACTATGTAAACTTATTTGTACATGTATATCTAACTGTTTTGAATTTTTATGTAATGTAATATTCCTTTATTGAATAGTATACAAAAGATTTGAAGGCAGAATACCAAGAAATAATAATCACAAAGAAATGATGGATATAACAGATGATATGGAATCAATGATACTTAATAACGTAAATGGTTCTAATACTAGTTTGAAAAGAAAAAAAAAATTAAATAAACATTTAAAATCAAAATGATAAACTTTATCGCTATTTAATTCTGTGAAGACTGCAAATTAAAGGTACTCGTGCTTCGTTATATTTATCTTATACGTTATTTCATAGAAAGAAACTTTCTAGAAAAAATTACGTTTGGAAAGGCACATGAACGTTTTTAGTTTTTCTTCTTAAAACATTTATTTTTTTCTTGTAATAATATAATGTTAGTCCCAACAGTGATTTTTGAAAGTTTTACAATCTGTACAACATAGTAATTTCCTAATAATTTACAACACACAGAAATCCAATTTTATTTGGTTTAACATATTCTTATATAGTCAAGGCAATCAGTATATATTTTTGATTTGCATTAATCCAATATCATAAAAATACGAAAAATGATCGAATTATTCAAAAATTTATGTTTTTAATATTTACTAAATATCTATTATACTGTAAAATATGAATACCCAAATTATATACGGTAAAGTAACAATTTTAAGAATACACTGTTTTGAAATGATATTTTAATAGAATTTTAAGATATTTCTTCATATTCTTCACTTCATTATTTCGTTTTCTTGTGAAATTAATATGTACATGAAGATTATATACTTAAAGTGAAAATAATATTTTATGAATTAAAGGAAAGTAAAAACGTAAACTAAAACCATTTCTTGTTAGTAGAAATTTCACATTTGCATTATAAAAAATCTAAAATTTTGATGTTACTTATGAGACACTAACTATGAAATGTAGTACAAGGATGTTACTTGTATTATAAATTCTTCTTAATGTTGTATGATTATGTATTCCATCAATAATTTTATTATCTGAATAATATCGTACTTATGTATAAATATTTGCAAAAAGTATTGTTTACTTTCAGATTTGTAAAGCAGATTAATAATTTAATAACAAATTAAATTTTATATTTCAATCTAATTGGCATACTACTATTTTACATAAATGTAGAAACAATTGTTTGTATGACATTTTGTAATTTTATACACTTATAAAGTAATTTCATTATTTTGTGGTCCTTACAGTCAATAAATTTTTTGCGATTCAATTCGGTAATGTATTTATTACCTGGTAACGTAAAATGTGTAAAAATAAATCACAGTTAAAAGTGATTGGGCAGTTACTAACATGTGCAAGCTCGATAGCTTATATAGTCGATTATAATATAATACCAATACTAAAAGAAAAAGTTTCCCATTGTAGAATTCCAATTTCAATGATATTACTGGTCATAGAAATTAATATCTAATAGATTGTTCATTCTCTCCAATTGATACAGGAAATCTGTATACTTTGATATCATTAATGTATATTGTATAAAGAAGTGTAAACATTATTTATAACGTATTTTCACGCAATAAAAAGAAATAGGAAAAATCAGAATTGATGAACTCTTTTATTATAAAATCAAATATTTTCTAAAATTTATAAAACCGTATAGTATTATTTTATAGTATGTTATGTATTTTAACTGCAAAATCTTTCATGTATATAAACTGGAAACTTCTATATGATTAGTATTGATTGCTATGAAAGTATAAAGCTTACAACAAATGAAATTCATATACAGATAATTTTGGAATGGGATAAAGGTATATACGTACCAATGCCAGTTTCTGAGTTCGCTGTCACAGTAATTATTAAATAAACAAATTAAATAACTCATACATAAATGAGTCGATTAAAACATTCTAATTAACAATAATCTTACAACATGCTTTCTGGCAGTGGTGTTATAGATTCAATGAAAGTCATGTGGACATTATTATGTCAACAATGGATATATAAAATTCCATTTGTAATATTAATGCACATACAGTCAATACTATATAAGTAGAATAAGTAATATCCGAAGTTGTACAAATAAAATTATCTAAAATATTGCGTTAAACCTTAAAACTTGTAATTTAGAATACTTTCAAACTATGGAATAAATAACATTAAGTACAACTTCAGTAGCTGCTTCTGAATATGAACTAGATTTGTTACGGAACAGGTAATTTTGATATTTATATAAAATAATAATACACTACACAATTCTTATGCTACATTGAAGTCATAAAAATTCAATGATTCCACTGATAGCATAAAACATCTGACCTCATTGAATGTTATATAACCTGCAACATATAGAAAAAATAGTTGCTTTTGTCCACAAGATTTACCATAGTCCATAGAGATTGACATACATTATATAATATATTAATTAGATTAATTCATACATATATGTGATATATCGCGTTGAGCTAAGCATCAGTTCCTATATCCAAACTTCTAGAGTCTTGGTTAGAATCATGTTGACTTCCATTTTCAGAAGAAGCACTGCTAGATAAACCAGATTGATCTGAACTTTTCTTTACTTTGGGCTTGTATTCCGTAATAACGACAGTAACATTATTTACTGTCACTTCATTGGTTTGAGCTGTACTACGGTCTATATTTTTAAGACGAGGTGGATGCCTGCTTTTACGTCTTGGTTTGTCCAATTTGCGGTCTTTCTCTTTACCACTAGTAGCCGTGCTACCACCACCCCCACCTTCTTTTTTTCCTGGCTTTAACAGTGGTACATATTGTTGCTGTGCAACCTATATATGAAATGATTATATTATGCGAAAGAAAAGAAAATGAAATTGCAGTAATAGCAACAAAATTGTAACCTGCTGTGCCACAAGTTGGGGATTAATGCGGGGTTTCCGCGTAGAAGTTCCTTTACGGACGTCACACATGAGGCACTTAAATGCTTCTGCGGTATTTCTATACGTGCAGACACTGCAGTCCCAATAGTTTTCTTCCAAAACCTTCGCCTGACGTTTTCCACTTCCCGAATGGTTCATTGTTCATGAAAGTCAGTTGTAGAACACTGTACCTTCTCAAAAGAGAGTTTGCCTTCCTATACGTGCTTTCAGCCTCATTAAAAGTGATTTTATGAACACTGGGTACTTTACGACAATAAGATTGCTCCGAAAGAGCAAGAATAAAGATATGCAATAAAGTTAATCGAGAATTGTCTAAGACAATGGTCTTTGCATCAACTAAACAAGATAAACAGTTGTTGAATGTATTCATCTTTACTATATGGACTACTTATATTCCTTTGTTGTATCATTCTGATGTACATTTTTTAGGTTGTACCTAAAACAAACAAAAGGATAAATAAGTTAGGAAATTAATTAATAGCAGTAAGTTTATCATTTCATGAAAAAGATTATATAGTAACACATTTATAACAGTAATTAATCTAAATGCAAATAATTCATAATCATTTATTGTTCTTCATTGTTACTTAACATACTTGCGCGTGCGTAAACGTAGTATACAATGTATTATTTAAAAAAATTAAATCGATTTATTACAAAACTCGTTAATGGAAATAAAATTTATGCAAAACGTCAAATATTATATATCTACAAACTTACCGATTGAAAGTGCCAATTTATGGAACTTTTCTTTTATTAAGGGTTATCTATCTTTTTTTTCTTCTATAATATAAATTTTTACTTTTTCACTTGGAAAACTTGTTTTCTTATTGAATATCCATGGTAATGTACAACTTGAAACAAATTAATTCAGGAGAAATTAAATGTTTCTTGTAATGCAAAGGTTCCAAACATTCTTTTTCTTAATGAAACAGATGGAATTCCTGACTTGCATATAAAAGTAGCATTATTGCACATATACGACGTTCTCCTTGACAGTATTATCCGTATACTTTATACATATACACTATACACTCTGACACATTTACAGTCAGGATATTTTTTCGGTCTTTCGTGTCATCGTAAAATGATTGCTTTACACAGAAAAGCCAGTAAAAATCAACTAACTCGAAGATATTGACAAACAACCCACAGCGCTGTTCCTCTATCGGTTGAACAGGGGAATGTTGAATGCGGACCAAAATACTGTTCGCTTTGGCAACATTGCACATACCAGTAATGTATCCTTTAATGGAAAGACCCTTCTTTATCCGTTATGAATGTATACACTTCATAATAGTTAAAATACTTTAATATACTACAAATCGTTAAGTAACTCTATCGAATAAAATAATAATTTAGGAAAAAATAAATTGTTATGTCTGTAAGTAAACGATAATTGTTAAATTAAGTTTATTTAAAATTTATAATAAATAGTTGATATTAAAAAAAATATTTATATAAAAAATGAGTACTTACTTTAACGTAGTTTTGTAAGAATTGTATGTACAATTTTTCATTATCTTTTAATTTATTAATACATTAATAAAAAAATTTTAGAAAGTGAAGGCCTCTGGTTAAGTTTCACACATTCCTGAAACTTTTGAAAGGTTTGAATTAAATCATACGGTAGATGTCACAGTACCGAATACCGTGTCTGATAATTCCGACTGCTAAGTGGGTATTTTTTTTCTTTTATTAAGTTTGATAAAAAAATACTCAACATATGTAAATGTAATTACGTAGGAAAATAACAGTTTGTTATCTCAAATTGGACTAGGTGGTATGGTATGTTGTATAATTCTTTTCTAGAATTGACATTTACTTCAAAAATAATTTTCAGGTTAATAAATATAAACAATAATATTAGTCATTATTATTTCACTGCATAAAAAACTGTTAATAGGGTTCTGTTTCTGCTTTAACTTTGTAAGAAATATGGCATAGTATATTAAATACACGTAAACATATTTAACACAGATTTTGATATGTTAGGATATATCAGATGGAATGGATAAATCATGGAATCATCCATGGACCACAGAGGAAATGAGAAAGAAAAGAAGAGAATGGAGTTTGGCAGGTGATGCAGGACTTCTTAAACATCTCCAACAATTTTCTGAAGTATGAGCTGTATCTATTATATATTTATTTATAAGTAAACTATGAAATATATAGGTACAAAATTAATGTTGACATTGTTTTTTAAGAACTTAGTATCAAAAGCAAATAAAACTGATGAAGCATTGAATTCTTTAACAACTCAACTGAATGAAGCAGCAATACTTATAGATAATGTGACAAATACGTCTCTTGCTTTGGCTAATACCCAATTTATCGAAAGTCGTGTGCAAGAAGATGATATAGTGATTGAGAAGAAGGAAACTGTGATTCAGGTAAATAAAGGGGTAATTATTTACATCAGCAATTTCTGACCAATTTATGTGACCTTGAAGTACATTGTCAAGGTCGTCATTCTGAACAACTTTTCCCTATATACATTATGGCTGTTCTGCGTTCGTTTTCCAAATATTTGTAAAATATATATCTGAGAATGGAGAGTTAGACTTTCAAGACTATAGTAATAGTAATAAGTCTTGTTTGTGAGTGTTACAAGTGTAACATTGACTGAGTATTTTTCTCGCCTGAACCAATAAACTCTGAATGCAATAAAAAAATTAGTGATGAGACTCAAATGTCTCTTATTGAAGATTACATTATCGAATACGTGGTTACAAATCGAAAAGACATTGGAATCAATGAAGCACACTCCTTTTAAATCCAGTAAAAAATTTTTATAAATATCTGTAGGAAAAAGATGTTTAAAATCAAGTCCGCAATCACATATTTCAAAGTCATCCAAATCGGTGAGGAATTGCTGATGTAAATAATCACCAATGAATTCATGATTCACATTTGATTAAAGTGGTGGTTGATTTGTAGGAATCTAAGAATGAAGATTTAGCAACTGCGGATTTAATAGCCACTGTAAGTGAAAGTATAAGGGAAGGTTTAGACATAATGGACTCAAAGTACAAGAAAACGGAGTTTGTTGATAGTGATAGCGAAGAAGAAAATAATGGAGTAGTATTAAGGTAAACAATTTTGATTAGCAATTATTTTTATTAAATCTACTTTGTATTAGTTTACAATTGAATTTTAGTGTTGTATTGGGGCCAAATGATCCATACCAAGATCGGCCCTTACCTTATGTCACCGGTTCTGAACAGTGGAAAAATTCGAGTAAAATCGGTCTAGAAAGCAGTAGTAGCAGTGAATCAGAACAAGTAGACGAAGAAGATGAAGAGGACGAAGACGAAGACGAAGAAGAAGAAGAAGAAGAATCAGAAAGTGATGATGATCAAACAGGACTTGGGGGTTATAATATTGATACTGGTTCAAAATCGGAAATGTTAATTGGGTCAGATTATAGTAAAAGAAGTGATATATCATATATGGAAAATGATAAACTCGATGTAATTAGTCATAATAATGTGCATTCTGTTTCTGAATCAATTACACCTAATGATAATACACCAAAGGTTTGTATATGTTGCACACTGTTTATTGTCCTTTTTCGTTTTATATTATATATCTTAGTATTAGATAAATGTGACATATTATTCAGGTACCATTACCGAACAATTTGACACCAAATTTTGCAGAAGAATTAGCCAAGCGATTAGGTACAGTTAGGCAGACTGAAAAACCAGCCATTGTAGATGAAAAAAGTGAAGCGTCGATAAATCGTTTTAAAGGTATTTACTTGAATTTGATAACTGTATTATTTATGTATATGAACTGTTATCGTATATTTTAGATGATTTATTTACACCAGATGGCGATGAAAATGTCTTAAACGATAAATCGAAAAATGTATTTAGTGGAAATGCAATCCCCAATGACCAAACTTCTGGAAGTTTATGGAAAGGCAAACCTATTAAGCCATATGAAAATAATATTATACCTGCTAGTATCGATGTACCGCCTCCGATTAGTACAGTTTGTAAGTTTGTTTTAATTTTAATTATTTTTAATGTCTAAAATTACATTTAATGACGTAGTTAAATAAAATTTTGTATTTTCAGCTACAAAACCAAAATCTGCTATCGATGATCTTTTTGCCGATGCAGATTCTGAAGATTCCGATGATATTTTCTCTTCAAAAAATACGGTTAAAACAATCACAAAAAACAAGCATCCAAGTAATAGCAATGTAAACACAGAAACTGCTAAGAAGAAATACTTGGATATTGTAGCACCATCGGTTACTGATAAGCGGGCGACAAGTACACCAGAAAATAACGTAAAAGATAATTTATTTGTCGATGACGATGACGACGATCTATTTGGTTCTTCTAAGAATCCTACGATAGATAAAAAAGTAAAATTCAAATGTGTAATATTAATTTTAATCAGATGTTTAAGTACAAGGGTAATGAAATTAAAAAAAGCTGTTAATCGTTTCAGAAACCTATGGGTGAAGTGTCAATACTTGGTGACATTATAACTTCAGATATGAAGAATAAATTATCGAATAGAATAATGCGAACTCAATCATCCGAATCTTCAGGTAGTGACACACCACCAAAGCATGAAGGCAGTCAAAAGTTCAGTCGAGATGATTCATGGAATACTATCTCTAAAATCTCAAATGATAATAATGTCGATGACTGGAGTCCTATTGTGATGGGAGTAAATAATGCAGAAAATTTGGCTGCTCCTTATGAAAGCAGTAACAGCAGCGGGATATCGATCAACCCACCAAGTGTTAATAATACAAAAGCTTCGAGTATAGGGTAAGTTTCAATATAATTCTTATTCCAACAAATTCTATCTTACAACTTCTTTGTTCTATGTCGCTACTAATCACTTTGCTTTATGTAAGGTTTTTTATGTCAAAAATGTTAATGGATCATCATCAACAGTTGCATGAAATGTTTTATCCTCTTCTTTCTAATTTCTTGAAATGAAACGAAAGATAAGTTCATTATAGAAGGTCTTATAAAGTCTTATAAAGAATAGCCCAATCAAGTGATTGATAATGTTATCTTTTCAATTTGAAGATATATAAAGAAATTATTTGTCCATCAAATATTCTATTTAGAGCTGGAGATCGTACAATGGACGCAATTCATTTGTCAGTGTAAGTGACAAAAACAATCCACTGGCAATTATTTTTTTTAAGGAGACAACAAATTCGTACTCTTATAAATAAGTAATATTCTTTAAAACAAGTTCACTGACCTATAGATTCGACGTTTATTGGCCTGAACATCCGAAAGAAAATTGAATTAAATAGCATATAGTTTCGTACTTGAACAAAATATTCACGTTTGAAGGTCTTTGAGGAGAAAGCTACGCATATAAATAATTGCTTCTCCTTAGTTATGGTAGAATAAACCGAATGGGAACACTTTATGTGATTCACCTTCTGCATATAGAATTTTCGAAATGCAAATTTTGCGTTCACAAATTACTGATAAACGTTACAGTCGTCTTAGTGTTTCTCTCTTACGAGAACAAGTACGCGTGCTAAATACTTAAAATGTCATTGAATTGATTATCCAAACATTAGTCATCCTCCATTACGTTGCAGTGATTGTATAGAATAGACAGAAGCTTCAAGGCGAGCTCTTTCAGTTCCCGAGTATCTCATCTGGTATCGCTGTTCCGCGCGTGTTCAGTTTATCGCCGCTTCTATTTTAATTACGTCTGTTTCCTTATCGCACGCTACTGAGTAAGTCGAACATTGTTTTTAATTTGGCATGTGAATTTATTTCTTTAAACATTATTTCGTAAATCATTTCGTAAATCATTTGTAAATACAATTCAGTTATTTTCTTTGAACGTCCATCGTCATCTGCCAACGTCTATTTCAATCCGCACAAATCGGCCCCGGACAACATTCTGGATAAGGCTTTCCCGCGTCCATTTCACGGTACCCAGTTTCCTTTCCCTCTGCACATCGGTATTCCGCGCATCTGGAACGTTTTAATGGATTTTACGATATCGATGATTTGGTTCAATGTAGTGGCGCGTTATTTCCTCTGTTCATTTATAACGAATGACATTTACGGATGCATCAGAGAGGTAATCAGAGACGAACGAAAACTTCTAAGGAATATTTTTACATTATTTCTTCGAATGCATTGCAATTCAAGTAAACTTCGTTATGAATCTTTCTATATCCTGTGAATATGCACTGATAGTAGAATAGTAGAATTGCATGTAATTCAATCAGTTCAGTAGGAAAATCAGACATAATGTATGAAAACGGTGAAAAATCATATGTGTTATTCAAACTGAATGTTACTTTCATTTATTTAATTCATATAACTTACGCGAGTCCGCTCACACTTCCATCGGAATTGCATGTGTATTGATTACAATCCTTTGTATACTTTTCGCCAGCCTTAAGGTCTTGACCCATGAAATTGCAGTTTGCTGTTCATTACAAATTTAAATATATGTACAGAGCGGTTCAATTATCGTTTTTAAAAATGAATAATTACACTTAAAAACTTGAATTCAAAATATAAGAATAAAAACTAATTTATGTTAATGCATCTCCAACTAAAATTTGTGGTCAGGTTTTATACATTTGTTAACAAATACAATTGTGCCATTGAGTAATTCACACTATTATTTGAAAAGGCTGGTCAAGTAAGAAAATGTTCGAGAACAAATTCTTTGCTCCAAACAGAAAGTTGAACGTATGAAAGGAAATTTGGAAATAGAAAATTTTTGTTTTTATTACTTGTTAAAAAACGAATTCTTTGCTATTCATTAAAATAATTTTCAATCAAAACTGTTTAGTAGGACTTGATTTTCTTGACTTGATAATCATTTGATGGGTATAACTTTTATGTTATAAAATGGGTATAACTTTTGAGACTCTGTAATGTCATACCATTAAAATATATAATGCTTTGCAATTGATTTATCTGTAAATCGAAATATCGAAGAATCACATACCGTGAGCTTCACGTAACACTAAACACATTGCCACTAAGACCGTGCAGAAAATAATGTTCCTCATGTTGCTGCTTTTGTTCGAGTATCTGATTTCGTTCACCAATCGGAGATCACTAATTCTTTCCTTATATCCCGGGTTTTCTTTTATACCTCTGCTTCTGCTACTTATCTATGCTGACCTTTACGTAACCCTCCACGACTTCATTTATACGAAGACTATTTTCGTACATACAATTATTGTGTTTAAACGATTATTTATTAGGGAAACATTCTTTAATTATATCTTAGAACGAAATTTGCCATTTTATCGTACATGCATTTCGGAAACAAAATATTATAGATTGAAGATTGCTCGAAACTTATGAAAGGCCGTATATATTTTCGATTTTAAATATAAAGATGACGTAGGATTCCGGTTTTGCTAAATGTTTGCACCAAACAAACATATTTTCTTTGCACCAGCATTGCTACTATATCTTAAGATACTACATACTCGAGGAAATCTTTTCATTGCTTCACCTGATAAAATTTCTAAAATGTTACATTTCTGTAATTTATAATAATAATAATAATAATAATAATAATAATAATATTTTTTACTGTCTTTTTTTCTTTTTGTATGTAAAATACGCGGAAATGTGTGGAATACACACAACATTGGAAAAAAGTTAATATAATCGACGCACTCGAGTTTCAACGTTTTCACTTACTTTTCAGTTTTATCGGTAACGTCGCGTAAATATAAGTGTGTAAATAAAAAAGATACTTTTCTGTCACAGATATTGATACATTTTTATCAATTCATAAATCATAATTATATTTTCCACCTTAATTCTTCTGTAAATTGATTGTGGCTTTCGAATTGCTCGAAAATCAATTTAAAGAAATTCCACGATATTAAAACATGTTGTATTTTCGAGTTACACGTTCAAGAATTCCAATGTAGTACACGCCATGCGCCAGGTTTTCTTATCTCTATACCCCAAATTTCGAATTTCTTCCATTATCGTTCAAAGTTCGCCCCGTAACGTGACGAAGAAGTTCGATTACTGCATTCGATCGAGGTTAAATTCATCGATAATTGTTTTCCAAAGGAAACGAAGCTAGAAATGGAGCGTATCCGCGATTAACAATTGACCACGAAAAACTTTCCAGTGTACCCATTCGATGAAAGAACCAATAAGCTTCTCCCCGAATCTTTGAGGCTTTTTCCGTGAATTCGGTATCTGCGATTGTTTTCAGCCCAGACTTTCAGCCGTTGCTGACGTCGACGCGCTTGAAATCGGAAGAGATTTACCGTGAGAACATCGCGAACGACAGCCTCTTTGCCAGTAATTCGGTCACTTCAAATCCGAACGCGGCTGGCAATCAGCCTCAAGAGGAGGTGCCCGGCGAACCAGCCTCTTCGACGCAAGAGAACGACGTATTTGAGAACGACGAGGAACTGTTCAGCCCGCCACCGTTGCCGAAACTCGACTCGAAGCCGCCGAAATCAAAGGTTTCGTTTCTGTTCGACGATTCCGATTCTGGGGACGAGCTGTTCTCGACCACCAGTTCGGGCTCCAGGTCACAGAAGAGCACCGATTTCTTGACCGCGGTGCCCCAGTATTCGGACAAGGCCAAGGCTACGCAACGAAGAGGTCTTTTCGACGAGGACATCGACATATTCGGCAACAAAGACTCGCCGGATGTTGATATCTTCGGCATAGCGTCGAAAGCGGCGAAAGAGGAGAGCGGCGCGCCAGCTAAAAAGCTGTCTGCCACGCCGAAAAAGATCAGTCTGTTCGACGATGCTGAAGATATGGACGACGGTGATCTGTTCTCCGCGAAACCGATCAAGAGCGACGGTAAAACCGAATCGAAATTGTTCGACGAAGACGACGGTGATTTGTTTTCAGTTAAGAAAGCAATCGACAGGGACCAAGCGAACGCTGGCATTAAGCAACCTTTACAAGCGCCTCCGATTGAGAAAGAGAATGTCGAGCAAATGTCCACGCGGAAAACGGAAAGGAAGCTCGATGATATTTTGTCCGGAAATGGATTTTTCTCCGCCGCTGTCGGCTCTCACGGATTGATCTTTGAGGACGACGATTACGATGATTTGTTCAGCAGCAAGATCGTGACCAAAGATACCAACGAGGCGTCTGCGCCAGATAACAAAGACGATACGAAAACGTTACCCGCGATGGCGAGTAAAGTTGCGAGCGAAGTTCCGAATCAAGTTGCTAGCTTCGAAAACGCCGCGAAACTAAATCTCATTGATACCAGTGGAGTGGAGCGAAGCACTGAGAAAGAGGATTTTCCGGTGACATCTAACGCTGCAGAGATTTCGGAGGTTGAACCTAAGAGGAGCCCGCCGAGATCGTTAGATATTCATGTGACTATGTCGTCGTCGCCGCCCGAGGAAAATAGTCAGTCTGCTAGACGAACAGTTTCCGGAAAAATAAAGAATTTAATGGGAAAAATGGGTGACTTGAAAATACTCTCCCCAATGGACACACCACCGCTTTGGAGGAGGAGCGAGGAAAGGACGGACGAAGAGGATAGCGTCGCGGGTAGAGACAGCGACGACGGCGGATGTGTTAGTACGCAAGGCCATAGTTCGCCACCCAGCGTGTCTGGTAATGTTCATACATTAAGTGTTGCGTATATTATATTTTTATACGATCATTTAATTATGTATGTAATATTTTAATTAACTTAATTAGAATAATGCGTACAGTAATCACAAAATTCCTGGCGAATGAAAAGACGGTAAATTGAATTAAGCGCTTTATTTGTCAATATTTGCCACATCTGAATTAATATGATTACTTGATAAGATAGGTTTCAATAAGTTTACACTCAAGAAAATAATTCATTAAGCTCTGTACGATTCAACGTGAATTTTAAAGCAATCTGACAAAGTAAGAAATTAATTTTCTGTACTGTACAAATTATTCTGCCTTTTAAAATATTACATTATGTGGAAAGTATCAAGTTATCTCGGAAAACGTGCTCAAATCATTCCTTTTGGAATTATTAATTAAAAGAACGGTTTTAAGCTTTTTCTATCATACATCTGCTGGGTAAAATGTTAATTTTGAATATTTCATTGCAGAAGACAGCACTGCTCAGAAACAGTCTCTTCAGTCAACGGTTTCAGGTGAAAGTAACGTAGAAAGTGCAATCAGCTTCGATGAGCCTGCTCAAGTGGAAACGTTGTCTACTGCTGCCTCAAAGGTAATCGTTGAAATAATTCTAAAAATAGAATGACTTTTTCTCGATTTCTAATTTGCGTATAATATTATAGACACGGGTTCGAATTCAAGCAAAACGCAGGCCTCAAAGTAGGCATGCTCGGAAATCTGCTTTGAGACAAAGCGGTATCGATTTCGATACTGTAGATGCCTCAGGGAATAATTCTCAAGATGAAAGTCATGTTAATAAATTACCAAGTACTCTTATTAAAGAGCCGTCGAACTTTACGAATGCGAATGTACCACAAATAACGAGCTCCGATCGTTTGGTCCCATCGAGCAACGACAATCTTCATCGGTTAGTCGATCCCAACATGTCTTTAGCTGCGGACGAAAAATCCGAGCTCGGTAGCATTAGCAAGGAAAGTTCAATGAGCGCCAACAAGAACACTTTGTTATCTCCATCCACCGACGAGGAAGATTTGTTCGATGTACCTCCCGATTTACCGGAAGATCCGCAAAAAGAAGACACTCTATTCGGTAGAGGACCAATCCTTTCTCCGGTCGATAGAGTCCTTTCTGAGAAGCCAGTTCCTGTTTTCAAGCCCTTAAAAGATACTCACATTAAAACAATAGATCACGCAGAAGTAGTTCCAGAGAAAAAAGTGTCTGTAGATCATGGTAGCAAATTGGCTGAAGCTGATAAAGATCTTGATACAAAAGTTGCGGTTCCTTGTTCGAATGAAAAGGAAGTCGAACGCGACAACGTTGAATCAAAGGAGGAATCGAAAGAAATGATAGATCCGTTAAGAGACAGCAGTCATGATCCTCTAAAGGATCCCAGTCAGTTGTTCGCTTTCGTCACGAAAACACCATCCCCGGAGAAAGGCAAGAATTTGTTGTTCTCCGAGGACGATAGTCTCTTCTCCACCAGCACTAAGAGGCCGTCCGATGACCAAACAGCTAAGAAACAGATGTTGGATTTGTTCGCGGACGACACGGAAGGGGATTTGTTCTCGTCTACTTTGTCCAAGCCGGTGAAGAAACCTCTGAAAGACACAATGATTAGCTTGTTCGACGATGATGGCCAGGATGACGAGGACGATAGTTTGTTTGAACCTGTTGTAAAGAAATTGTCCGGGAAAGCTGAACCCGAGAAGAAACAAGAGAATCGGAAGAATATTGGTCTGTTCGATGACGGTGACGACGATACCATTCTATTCTCCGAACAATCTGAGCATACTCGAAAGTCTGACACCGGTAGTGTTCAAGAGCCACCAAACAAAAAAGAAATTTTCGCTAATATCACCGAATCTGTGAAAACTTCACATATCACAGATATTTTTGCCGAACAGTCGAGCGGTGAAGATGACATTTTTGCTTCGAAGATTGCATCAAAAAAGGTCGTAGCGTCGAAGTTTCTATTTTCTTCCGACGACGATGACGACGACGCTGGTAATATATTTAGGAAAAAATCTTCGACCAGCGAATCACGAACAAAACCAATTGAAACGCGATCGACTGCTGTAAAGAAATCGGTTACGAGGGATCTGAAGAAAACGGCTGAGAAAATTAGCGAGGATCCTTTAAGTATTTTACAAGATGACTAAACGTCGTTACTTTGAAATACGTATCAAAGAAATTATATATTTTATTTATGCTCGCCCTTCAATATTTCCTTGTACTGAAGTGATTTTAAGTTATAGCGTATTAAAGTCCAGTATGAAAAATGAATTAGATTCTCTGTTAATGAAGAGGATAACTGAAAGGCGAATATATAAATTCTGTATAAATTATTGAACAAAAAAAGAACGCTGTGCGTTACAAAAATGGGCACTGTGCAAAGATAATATGAATTTAATTGTATGTTTGATTCTATTCCATTTCTATACAGAGAAAATTCTAAAATACATTATAATTTGTAATATATGCGAACAAAGATATTTTACCGTATTTTTCCATAAATATTTTTTCAAACAGAAATTTGGAGGATATCAAGTCCTGATAGGCGAATCTTTTTTCAATGTCGAGAACAACGAACAACAGAATATTACATGGATAAGATAGATTGATTTGTTGTCACCAATTTGTAATATTAAATCATTTTGCACAACCAGTTTGCAGGCAGTGCTTTACAAAATAGATGTTATATATATATATATTTTTTTTTTGTTTATAATATATGTCATTCCATGATGTATTGTATATATTGTAGCCTCCTTACAAAAATGTGTATCAGTACAAATAAATTGGTAGATGCAATCTTATATAATACATTGTATATGTGTTAATTTCTCATTACGCCATTTCTAACCAAATTGTATTTTTATATAACCGAATTTCAATGAAATAACATGACGTCATTCTTTACTGAAATCATTTAGGTAAAATTATTCACGTAATCATTTCACATGCGTAGGTTTTAATTATGCATACCGTGACTTAATTGAGTAAAGATACCGAAAGGTTAAATACTCCTGTGATTTCAAAAACAGTGCATAAGAGCATAGTCATTACTTCATACTATGTTATATAATTAAGTATTAAATGAAACTAATAAAATTATATAATATATAACAAATAAAATAATTAAATTAAGTAATAATTAATAAGTAAGATATGAACTTTCGTTTCTTAGTACAGGAAGATTTAATTATTAATAATATTTGACTAATTGATTAATTTGATAATTTAGAGAAGTACTGATAAATAGTAAATGTCGATACTTTTTGATAATAAATTTTAAAATATGCAAATATTTCGATAAAAAAAATTTAATAAAATATAATAATTAACGTTACTATAAAAATTAAAATTTTTTTATTGGTAGATCTATTAAATTTTTGTTAAGAATACCATTGAATATTTTTATATGAAAACAATATAAATCACAAGCTGGTGTATAAATTTCGAAAATTTCATATTTCAAGAATTTATTTTATTGAATTATACTTTTTTTATATTTTCTTTTGTAGATTTATTTATAGATTACAGATTCATATTTATAAGTAAAAATTAATTAACTTAAAATTGTCCACACTGTGAGGTATTTCCAACCATTCTGAACACCATGAGGGCTCGATCTTTTCTTCGAAGAAGCAACATCCCACCGCAGGGAATAATAAGCAGTCGTTGTACCGTGTGGTATAACATTGTTGTACTATGTTAGTACTATGTTATACAACACAGAAATATTTTATTTTCTCGATTGAAAATAAAATTTGTATTACTTTCTGTGGTAATTACTCTGCAAAAATCGAATGATAAGTTAGATTTTATTTCGGACAGCTTCCAAAATAAATTGAAAAATATCTGTAACAATTTTCGTACAGCGAGTCTCCTAGTCATCTTAAACGTTGTTAAATATGTAGAATCATTGTTTAAAAAGAAAAGGTTGTGTAATTTTTATAACGAACGCACAAATAATTAAAAAATTTGTAATGTAAATAAAATAATTAAAGTAATTGAAACATTCGCATTTAGTGAATGAAATTGCGCACTAATTGTTAGAACGTGAATTATACATTATACGATGTCATATGATTATTTACATTTGTCGTATATTTATATATCCACAGGTTTAGATGTACGTATATGACATACGTTTAAAAGAAGAGACTCTGTAATTCAGTTCTACTAACCTAAAGGCTTATGATAATTATGATAAAGAGGTAGTCGCTTGTTGCGCGACATATGGGTTTACGATCAAGGAAATGAAAATCTTTTAAATAGTGTTGTTTCGAATCGGAGCAGTTCGCAGTAAAAGTTCACTCATCGTTGTATTCGCATCGAACGTATCATTTTCCTAGTCAGTTCAATCCAGGTAAGTGATGACAGATTTAAACTTTCCTGTGTGGAATACTTCTTCCTTTTCTTTCGCATTATTTGACTGTTTCTTCGAATTTTGATAAATTCGCGCGTATTCAAAATTCTATTTGAATTTTACAATGGTAACCGATAAGATTATCGGAAATTATACAAGTGAAATTAAATATCGCATAAATGCATGCCATTTTGCGTTATAAATTAATTTACAAGGTAATTTATTCGAAACAATATTTAAAGAAACTTCTAAAAAGTTTTCCTTTTTAAATATTTATTACATTCCTGTTATCGTTCATTGTTTCACGCCGCTCTAAATCTTATTTATACTAATCCTTGAATAAATAAGGATTTCCACATAATACAAATAATTCTTTTATACATTCCGTAATTGATAAGCTGCTAGTTTTTAAGTGTCCTGTTATTCGGATCGAATATTTTTAACCGATTTTAAGTAGTTCCTATTTTCACGCAAGCACGCAAAGATTAATGGATTATTATATTAACCTCAGAGAGAAGATGACATCAGACAGAAGTGACACGTATATGAATAATACATTGGATCCACCTGAATCGGAAATGCGGAAGTCCGATGCAAAAAGCGAGATCGCCGAATTTTACACTGGCACGAACATTTTGATAACAGGAGGGACAGGTTTTTTGGGGACATTACTCATCGAGAAATTACTGAGGTTATTCTTTTTAACAATGCATATAATAATTCTTTTTAACAATATAGCTGCGTATTTAATAATACAAAAACTTAAACTTAATAGCTTTCGTATTTTGATGTTAGATCAAACCGATTTATTTATCCTGATAAAGTTACCGAACATGTTGCGCAAAGATCAATATTTTTTTTCAACGGAAGAAGATTGAAATTCAGCATGATCTTCGTTGGGCATGTTCACCGGTTAACCACTTCTGATGTCCGTCGACTATAGTCGACGGTAGTACCGAATTAATTCGTTCATGGCAATGAACAGATATTACATGAACAGAATCTATATTATCGATTTTTGCACAAAAAATGATATGCAAAGAATTGATAAAATGACTTTGCGTTTTATTAAAATGTTTGATTAATCAGATCGGTAACATTGCTTACTGGTTTATATAACGAACGTTATGTGCATACACATACTATTATATACTATATATCAACTTGTAACGACTTTTTAGTATACTGACAATGAAATCAAATAATGATGCGTATATTCATTAAACGCAGTTAACTGGTTAAAATTAATAATAATGTGACATCAATCGCCGGTTCAAAAGGTACATCCGGTCTCTTACATCCACTATTGTGTTTACCATTAGAGTGAACCAGATATTTACTTTCCTATGAGAAAAAATAAGAAAGAACAATGGATCTAATTTTTGATAATAATGCATCAAATTTATTTCGTAATATTATATTATTCGTGTCATCCTTGCGCGTAGTAAATATCCATTCTAAATAATTTTTAATTTATCCTCAGTTATCATTTTATTATAATTTGATTTCTAATAATATTTAATTTATTTATTTTACTTAACACATTGATCGTTCGACAATTTTGCGAAACGAAATATACAATATCATTGCTTTATGTTACATTTTTTATAACAGAAGAAAGTATTCAAATAATTAACATTGAGCTGAATGAATTGCAGTTATTTAAATTGGATGGAGGTCACCGGTGACTCTCACGGCATTTAACGTGTTAAACTAATAACAATTAAATAAAAATTTAATCTAAGTAAAATAAATCATATAATTAAATATTATTATGCAAAGAGAATTCGACATAAAATGAAAACCTATAAACGTATAAAATCTATATTGTGTAAGTACTTACAAAACAATAACAATTAGTAAATGAATATTTATTCGTAATATTGTTAATATTTACAGTAATTTATTTGCAATTGATATTGTCTATTTTCATGTCTTATTTTCTCTAACATATTTACAGATCTTGCCCGGGCATTACGACGATATACATGTTGATAAGACCGAAAAAAGGGAAAGCATCAAAAGATCGATTTGAAGAAATCTTTAATGATGTTGTATGTAATATCCAAAAACAAATATAAATAATAGTAATAAATATAATTGATTGGTAATAAATTTGTTTGTTACCGCAATCAGATATATGAAAGATTGAAGCAAGAACAGCCGAATTTCTTAAATAAGATAGTAATGATAGAGGGTGATGCAGCTAAAGAAGACTTTGGTTTAACACCAGAAACTAAAACCATGCTGACAAATACCAATATTATTTTTCACGTTGCGGCAACTGTTCGATTTAATGAGAAAATACGTTTGGCAGTGCATACCAATGTAAGAGTTACAAAAAATTTGTTAGTATGGGCGAAACAACTATCAAACATAAAGGTAAATAGGAAATTCCTTAAATATTAAAAAAAAAACAAATTATTATTAATAGTTGTCAAGACAT